TCATCTACTCGTGTATGTGTCTCTCTTAACTACCTGGAATGTTTTTATTTTTATTTTTTTTCTTGTCGTGGTTTTAACAGCTAAACCGAGCTTTAACTAACCAAAAAAAGAGAACTAGGGGACAGTGCACCCTCAATACTCTGAGTTCGTTCAACAAGAAACAACTCATATGAACCCTGTCTAGTTTCTCCCATTAAGTAATATACACATTTTACATGAAAATTGACCACAGTGTCGAGAGGAGAACAGGAATTCAAATGTACGTTGTCAAAAGCAACATTATAACATGGATTACAACCAATTTATTCCAGAAGTTTCCATAAGCAACTCAAAAATAGCCTGAAGTCGAAAGTTAATTCTGACACCTCCATCTTTCTTGTTGACTTTGGTTACTTACATTAGTATTTGGTAGCTGCAGTTTTAAGAAGAAACCCAAAATTGAACTAGAAAAGTTCACTTCTTCTATCATCTTTTCTATAAGGAGTTACTTCTTTTAACTAATCAAAAGAAAAAACTTTCTTTTATCATCAACTGGAATCTGAGTCTTGAATTACAATGTCCCACCATTTTAACAACCTTTCACTTCCATTAATTTGAAAAAGTACTCCTGAATTAAAGGGTGCGTGGTAATGCAAAGTGACCACTATAAATATTCAATAATAATTAAAACCAAAAATCGTATACTGAATTTTCAATGAACAATCAGAGAAAAATTAGATAAAGGAAACCCACAGGGAAAAAAAAGTAAAATTGCATTTTTTTTCAGGTAGTACATGCCTAGATCATAACTCCAACCAAAATAGCTGCGCAATAAATACCCAGAAATAATAAATTGAAAAAGGAACCAAGTCCAATGAAAAAACTGCAACTCAACGAACAAACAAACAACATACCAAGTGTAATCCCACAAGTGAGGTCAGGGGAGGCTAGCAAGGGCGGAGCTAATAAGGACCCAGAGGTTCATTTAAACTCCCTTAGGCAGAAACTTACACTGATTATACTTCATACATGATTAAAATTATTTTTTTTATACAAATATGTACCCTTCAACTTCTTTCATGTGTTAACTTCTTCGTATTTTGAACTCCTTTAATGAAAATTCCTGGCTCAGAGAGTTGTTTCCGATAGACAACTCAGCAAACAAAAAATTACATAATAACAAAAAGAAAACCAAACAAAAGACAGAACTTTACTATTAAACTCATAAAATTGACACCCAAAAAATAAGATACACAAAAAAAGAATCCTTTATCAGATTACAAACACATAATTCATATAGCAAAATGTTACCTGTTCTTCACCCATAAGATCCTGCAACCTAGCTTTAAGTTCAGGTCCATGTCTACCACCACTTTTCGCATTAATAAAAACGATGATCGGCGATTCCGACGCCTGAGGAGGTTCAGCTCCGGCGGCATTAGCCATATCGTAATGCCGCATCACAGAATCAACATCCTTGTTTCGAATCGCTTCTCTCATCGCTACCCTTAAATACTCCGGTATCGTAATTCTCTTCCTCAAATCATCCTTCTGTATCGTCGACCCCGTACATCCCCATATTGAATCTATAACCGATGATCTCCCTGACGCCGCCGTGTTCCGACTAGTTGATAAATCTGTCGTCGTTAACTCCGGCGAACCCATGTGAAATGATGACTAAATTACCCCTTACCCCTTTTTCCAAATTAAATTGTTATCAATAATTGATTAAAAGCTAAAAAATGTGTCAAATATGTATAGGAGGAAAAGGGTGGTGGGGTAGGGGGGAAGTGAATATGAAGAAAAGCATTGAAATGGAATTTAGATTTGGTTTTAAGAAAAGAATATTTAAAGTTAATATTTGAATAAAATTTTAGGATAAATATTAAATACACAATTAAAATTTATATTTTAATTTTAATTAATCCAATATATCCCCTCCCTTCCTTTATTACAATTAATTAATCCAATATATGTTAGGAGTTTTGACGATTTAAAAAGTATTTATGGAATAGTAGTTTATTGTAGCACGATTATCTCAATCATTAAATCATTAAAGTAATCGTTTGGGGTTTTAATTTTTTCAGGACCTTTAATTATTTCTTAAGATATATTATATATTGTTTAAAAAAACATGTATCGATAAATTTGAGGAAAAGAATTGGGGCATGCAAATCAACGATCTCTAAAAAGGGGCATGCAAATCAACGATATCTTCGTAAAACTAGATATTATATATATATATTTATTTATTTATTTTCTTCTAAAATTGATATAATATTATCTACTGATACTCACGCCTAGAGTTTCGTGATCAACATTTAGTGCACTTAACTTAACTACTTCCATCGAGTGAACCATCTCAAATATTAGCATCCCAAATTCATATTAGTAACAATCTAATCTCGTTCATATTAGGTGCATCTCATAATTCATTTTCAATATATTCGACAATATCATGCCATAATTAAACATAATTATGGAAGTAAATACATAAACAAGTCGAGATAGATAAATACATAGTTCAATAGTTTAGCCAACTAATTTATCAATATGAACAAATATATACAATCTACACAGTATATATTGTTTATGTATATTTGATATAAGTATGCATAACCTAGATATTATATATACATATATATAGGTCCGTCTCAACCCCTAGGCCACTAAAGCCATCGCTTGGGCCCCCATATTTTTAGGGCCCCCCATTTTAAAAATAAATAAATTATATACTATGAGTGCTATGATTTCTACTATGGAAATTGCTTATGAGATGTATATAGAACCTGAATTTCGTAAAAAATAATTTGATGGAAATATTGATAACAAAATCACAAAGTCCCTTGAAATTAGAGTTGATTACTTTATGCTATCTTTTCACTTCAAAATAGATTTGAACCAATTAAAGCATATGAAGATATTTTTGGTTTCTTATTTAGTGGTAAATTGAGATGACTAGATGACGAAAAATTTTAAAAAATATTGTCTTCACCTTAAACTTTCTTCAACACATAATAGTTATTATGAAAATTGATAGTTTAGATTTATTTTTTGAATTAAAGTGTTAAGAGAAAAAATATAAGTAGAAGATAATGATCTAATGAAAATACTCAATCAAATAAAAAGAATTGATTCTTTTCCAAATACACATATTACTTATAGAATAATGTTAGCAATTCCGGTAAATGTTGACTCAGCCGAAAGAACTTTTTTGAAACTAAAATTGATTAATTTTATTTAAGATTAACAATGTCTCAAGAGAAATTGAATGGATTAGCTATATTATCAATTGAAAAGGAATTATTAAAACAAATCAATTATGAAACAGTAACTAATGACTTTGTATCTAAAAACGCTAGAAAAGTAAATTTTAAATAAAAGTATATATGATGAAAAACTAAAATATTAGGGCCCCTATGTTAAGTTTCGCTTTAGATCTCCCAATCCTATTGAGTCGGCCTTGTTAATATATATATTTTACAAATTAGTTGATCAAAGTGTTTAGAACCGTAACTGCCCTCTTAAATATGTGAGAAAATGAAGCAACCAGTTTTAATAATTGTACCATATAATACTCACCAAAAGAAAATACATCCAATTTCACGTGAATGAAAACTACTTTACAACATATCAAACATTTTAGGTGTGCCCAATATAAATACAACAAATAAGTATTTAATCATTCATGGATAGGACAAGGAGTCATCACTTTCATGTAAAATGAAATATAGTGATATGAATTTTAAAAAATGAATTTCCGTTAATTATTTTTTCAATTTTTTTATTAAATCTAATAATCAAAGTTGGTTAAATATTTGACGGAAATCAAAATGTTTTAATGCTTTTGGCATTCAAAATTGCTTAAAGATACATTTAACGGACTATCTTAGACCTATATATCCTCAAACCTTACGTGATATTTTTTTATTTTTTGAGAGTCAATTTAATTAATTTTTAACGCTAAATTAAATTAAATTAACTTAATAATTTAAAATTAAAATTTAGATATTCAAAAACTATACGTAATGTATTATAAGTCACAATTTTTTCACATGTAAATATAATAAATATTATATTATAAAATATTGACCAAAGTTAGAATGAATAATCTGCTTGGTACTTCTAGAGCTCTAGTAATGAATGAGGCTCAAAGAAGGGTCGGATCACAATTTGTCTATTATATTACACAAATTCGACAAATCAATCCTCATGAGTTGATAGTCCTATTTGGATTTGGGCAGGAGTCGTCTATTTCTTGCAATAGTGGCCTTCAAAAGGCAGATTTAAAATTTGATATTTATGAGTTCCTACCGTAAGCTCAAGTTAATACTATAATAATAAATAAATTCATGATCAAATATTTATAAATATCTTGTAAGTTCATTAATATAAAGGGTCAAAGCAAAAATTACTAGATTCATGTGAACCTATAATTGGGCTTCTAGATCCGCCCATTGTGATCTTCAAAGCCACAAAATATCATGTTTATATTAAACTAATGAATGCATAATGTTTACTTATTATCCATTGTAACCTTCTGTAACGACCTGCTTCAGTCGTTATAGAAAAGATAACGGGGAAAATTTTTGGATCGAAAAACTTTTTGGTAGTAAATTGAGAATTCCTAGTCTAGTCCAGATTTGGGTAATTTTAAATTATAATCATCTATAAATGTGAACTTTTTTGCAAAAATAATATAATAAATAAATTGAATAAGTGAAGTTTACCTATCTTACCTATAGCTTGAAAATATTTGACACAATTTATTTTAATCTCCGTCTACATAATTCAACTTTTAAAGCAAATTCAGATTTAAAAATGATTCTTGCATCTAAACAATCACATTAGCTCATTATGAACAAATGTTTACAGTAATACATATATTTGTCTTGCTAGTAAAATTATTTTACTATCGAATTCTAATAAACGTAATTGACCCAATCCCGAAAAATTGATAAATATGAATATTGTGCTAAATTTTTTGTTTGAGACTTTAAGTACCTTGAAAACCAATATTAAGAGAGAATAGAATAAAACTTTTATTCAAGATAATAAGTTATTTTCACTCAGAGAGTGTGCATTATTCATACACGTCATCAGCTACATCATATTTTATTATCTCTCTTTTTTTTTTTTTTTTATAAATTTCCTTTATTATTTTAAGCCAAACATTAATCTCAGCCGTTGAATATATATTTAGTCCATGATTGTTCAAACTTGGGATATATCCCATCTACATCTATTTCTTCTTGGAATCTCCTTGGTGGTGGCGGTGGCGGCGATAGTGACCTACAAAAAATAATAAAGGTATAATTAATGTAACGTAAAAATAAAAAAATTATAGTTTTAGTTTTAATATTATAAACTTTTAAAAGTTACCTTACTTGTCTTAAACTTCTTATCCATTCAAATTAAAACACATAAGAAAAGAAGTACTCCTACTTACTTAATATGATCTTCTAACATGTCTAAGTCCAGAAACTTTCAAAACTGTTATAGTTATGCAAATATTATCACATAACTACTAAAAAACATTAGTCTAGCTAAAATTTTCGACAGAATCAATCGGAAATTGGCTAATTAAAAATATTGAATGTGAGTAAAGTTGCAGATTCTTACGGTTGAGGTTTTGGATGAGGTAGCATAATCGTAGCTCCAGTAGAACAGCTTTTTGGAGCAGATTTTGAAGGGCATGAAATGAAACTAGTGCCACCCAAGTTAGTGCACAAGGTAACCTCTTTCAAGTAAACATGAGTTCTATTTCTTGAATCAATTGGAATACATGTTAGGTAAACATCAAGGGGAGGCGAAGGCGGAGTTACAACAAACACCTTTCGAATAGCATCAACGATATCTTTTTTAGCAAAAGACAAGCTATTACAAGCAATAATCCCACTTGTTTTCAAGTAATTGAACAAGTTTCCCTTTTGAAGCATGTTGTTGATCCTTATTGCTGTGTTGAAGTATACTTGTGCTGTTGTTCCTCCACACGCTCCATGCGCTTTCCACTCGTGCATCCATAGGTCCCTTTTTTGGGAGTTTTCTCTAAGTGGTGGCCAGAACGCCATCAGTTGATTCTCTACAGTCGGTGTAAACTACAAAAAAAGATATATACACCATCAAATCATTTAATAGGTAATGACATTAAATATCTTTATAATGAGCATCAAACGATGGATAACCTAATAATAATGCCACCTAAAGACCTACTAAAAAATTATTAGCTTATTCATCAAAAGTGCGCTTGTTTAATTTAAAAAGAAAACACATTTTTTTGTTTGTAAATTTTCTTTCTTTTTTCAAATGAAACAAATTTTACATCTAAAATGCGACTATTTTGTGATTTTCATTTAAAAAAAAATAAAAGTCAAAATGTCAAAGATTTGACCTAAAGAACATCAAATCATTAAAAATAATGTAAAAATTAGAGTTCGATAAAAAAAAAAAGATGTTTACAATAAGTAACCCCTTATTATATAAACATATATGTATATGATCACTAGATTATATATACATATAAACTAATTTAACATCTAACGCATCTATCAGTGCATAAAACATAAACTCTTGTGACTAAAAAGTCAGTACGTACCAGTTGATCCCAATTTGGATATGGTGGTTTAGTGCAGCAAGTAATACTAATTCCGTCTTGATCTGCTGGCCAAACTCCATGGAGTGTCAAATTATGCTGAAGAATTGGCTCTTGGCACCTGCCTGGTTGTTTTGCATCATTATTCAGATTCATACAAAAAGTTGGTGGCCATTGAAGCACAAATTTCAAGAGTGCTGGATTTTTAGAGTCATCAGAAATTGTTATTTCAAGTAGCAAAATGACAAGAAGAAAGAAGGTAAGTTTCTTCATGTTGTGTGTGTGGGGGGAGAGTAGTTAGTTGAGGTATGGAGTGGGAGATTTATAATAAAGAGGGTTTTCTTTCATACACTCTCCGTCTAGCTTTACTTGTCCACTATATTAAAAATAGTTGTTTAATAGTAATACTTATTTAGTTAGATCAAAATAAACCGACTTAATAAATTAAAATAACATGCATTCCCGATCGTCGCTGCCTGCTTAAGACTAAAAGCTAGTAGTGAGACTTCTATTCTGCCGCCCAATCTAGCAAGAGCTTTAGGAAGATTGATAGAGCTAATCAATTTGGAATAAATACTAATAATAGTTGTTTTTGTAGTTCTATATCATTTAAATTACAAAATCAGAATTCTTATACATAGGTATAACTGCTATTGTAGAGCCTTTGAGAGGATGGAAAAAACTTGGAATTTTAATGCTAAATTTCAACTTTAGTAACTTAAAAGTAAGTTTTAGGGTATGTTTGGTATGAAGAAAAATATTTTCTAGAAAATATTTTTTAATTTTCTCATGTTTGATTGATTTAAATGTTTTTCAAATTAATTTATTTTCTTCAAATTTAAATAAAATGATTTCCCTTAAAAAAATAATTAAGAAGAATATTTTTCAAAACTCTCCGTTAATCTCGAATTACAATCTTTTTTTCTTCGCCCACCTCATATCCCGACCTTCCCCATCCAAATTAAAATTAAAATATTAAAAATTTCAATTTGTTTTACCTCTACCCGATCCCCATAGCCAGCCTCAGCCCCTCCCCCAACCAAAAACAGTAAAATTTTATTTTTGAAAAATCAATTTATTTTTACCCCACTCAACCCCACCCCACACCCACCCCCACGAAAAGTTTGGTTTTGAAAAAAAAGTTAAAATTTTAAAATTTTCTTTTTTTTAACTCATACCTACCCCAATTCCCTACCAGCCCCCACCCAAAAAAAAATTGTTTTTAGAAATTTTTTTTTTTTTTTACCCCACCCCTACGCCGACCTATCCTACCACCCCCCCCAAAAAAAATAAAATTAAGAGTTTCTTTCGAAAACTATTTTCAAAATTTTTTTAAATTTTTTTTTACCTCACCCTACCCCAATCCCCCCCTCCAAAAAATAAAAAGGAAAAAAATTGTTTTTTTAAAAAAGTAAAAGTAAAATATCTCAGTTTGAAAGTTAGGTTCTGATTCGGGTGTGGTAGGGTCTCAGTTCGAAAGTTGGGGTCGAATTCTCAATTTGAAAGTCTAATGTTGGATCTCACATCGGTTGTTGGTTGTTGAGGTCAGCTCCTGGTTTGGAAGTTGGGTCTCGATTCATGCGTTGGGGTTGAATCCCAAATTGTTCGATTGAGTCCAAGTTTGTGTGTCAAGGTCAGGTCCTGGGTTAGATATTCGGTCCCAGATTCAAATGTTGTGTCTCAGGTCTTGAGTCGGGTCAAGTCCTGGGTCATATCTTAGGATCGGATTTCTAATCGGTCGTCGGGGTTGTGTCCTAGTCCGTGTGTTGGGTCGTGTCCTAGATCGATTGTCGGGGTTGGTTTCCGGGTCACTAAAAAATATTTTCGGAAAATATTTTCTACTTACCAACCAATCCTGAAAAAATAAGTTAGAAATTCGCTTGTTTTCTAAAAAATACATTTTCTAGGAAACTATTTTCCATGACAAACATTTTCCTTCGTACCAAACGCGCGCTTAGTATCACAATGATAAGTTCTTCTATAACTTCAATAAATAAATAAATAAAATCATTCTGATTTAATCATAGCACCCAATAGAACAAAGTGTCAATTATTGAATTTTGTACCTCTTGTAGAACCACGTTTAGAATATGGGATATATAGGACCACCCTCTAGTCCAATGGTGTCATATTTGATACATCTAATCCATATTCTTATTCATTCTTTTTAATTTTACTTAATTAATCACATCTACCCATTGTTTAGTGTGGATGATGGATTTTCATCTAGATGTTATATATGTATACATAAAATTAGTAATAAAAAAAAAGATCTTTAGCTTCCTCACTTGCCTTAGTTGAAATACTATAATATCCTACGTAGCTATAACTAGTGCCTAGGGTGTGAGGGTGTCTATATTTGACAACATCATGTCATAATAAACATATATAATTATATGAAAGTAAACACATGAAAGAATCGAGGAAATTCTATATATATATATATATAAATACTAAAAATTGATGTCTAGATTTCCTCCTACCTCGGAATGTGTGTGGTCTAACGTTAGAAAGTCTGTGTGATAGCCAAACTTAGGATAAAAGGTTTCACACTGACAAAACGCAGGAAAGATGTTGGGCATATATATAAGTAAGCAAGTCTTACACCTTAATGTTAGAAAGCTATGTGTGAAACCATATCAGATACGGAGAATCACATTTCCTGGAAAATTGGTAGAGGAGAGACAAATTTTTGGTTTGACAATTGGTCAAGCTTAGGACCTCTTTACTTACTTCAACCCGATATTGAAGGAAATATCTTGATCAAGCTTAACACAGTTTATAACAATAGCGTCTGGAATTGGAACTCTATTCAGGGAGATCTCTCTGAAGATGTAAAAAATAAGATTATGAGCTTGGGAGTTTATCTAGACAACAATGTGGATGATACGGCAATTTGGAGAGAGTCCAATAATGGCCTCTTAGAAAGTCTGTGTGATAGCCAAACTTAGGATAAAAGGTTTCACACTGACAAAACGCAGGAAAGATGTTGGGCATATATATAAGTAAGCAAGTCTTACACCTTAATGTTAGAAAGCTATGTGTGAAACCATATCAGATACGGAGAATCACATTTCCTGGAAAATTGGTAGAGGAGAGACAAATTTTTGGTTTGACAATTGGTCAAGCTTAGGACCTCTTTACTTACTTCAACCCGATATTGAAGGAAATATCTTGATCAAGCTTAACACAGTTTATAACAATAGCGTCTGGAATTGGAACTCTATTCAGGGAGATCTCTCTGAAGATGTAAAAAATAAGATTAGGAGCTTGGGAGTTTCTCTAGACAACAATGTGGATGATACAACAATTTGGAGGGAGTCTAATAATGTCGTTTTCACTCTTCACTCAGCTTGGAATATTATAAGAAATAAAAGATCTTCCAACATTGCTACTAGTAAGATTTGGAATTGTGCCATCCCCTTTAAGATGTGTTTCCTTACTTGGAGAGCTGTTTATGATAGACTCTCAATGGATGATCAAGTGGCAAAACTAGGCATCAATATTGAGCCTGGATGCTACTGTTGTGTGAATATCCCTGATAACAACTCACTGAAAACTGCTAATCATCTTTTCTGCAAAGAGAACTTTGCAAAATATATTTGGCGAAGTATTGCGAATTCTCTGGGTGTGAGATTGATCCAGAATTCTCTAAAACTTATTTTACATAAATGGTGGAACACCCATACCAACAATCCCATAGCGTCTTTCATTATCCAAGCCCCTCCCCCCTATAATTTGTTGGGAAATCTGGAAGACGAGATGTGCTAACAAATTTGAGAAAGTTAACCCCTTTCCTTATAGAACTAATGTTAATATCCTATTCACTCTTTTGCAGATCACGAGGAGGAAGTTTGGAAAAGCAAATATAGGGGAGACGTGGCGAAGTCTTTCCAACATTTTTTATGCCAATATTCACCAACATAGCAATAATCCCGTTAAATGGATTAAACCTCCTGCTAGGACTTTTAAACTCAATAGTGATGGTAGCTGCCTTCAAGGTGCTTGCGGAGGAGGAGGACTGATTCGAGACTCTTTTGGTCATACTATATTTGCCTACTCGATCAATCTAGGGCCTGGCACAAGCAACATGGCTGAAGCAGCAGCCTTATTATATAGCCTTAAATGGTGTGCAGATAAAGGTCTCACAAATGTCTAGGGGGTAACCGATTCTTTGCTCCTGGTAAATTACTCCAATAAAGAATGGAGACCCCTTGGAGAATCAAAGATATGATCCAAGAAATTATGAAAATAGTTGAAGATCATGGATATCACATAAGTCATTGCTTTAGAGAAGCAAATAAACATGCCGACAAACTTGCATCTCTTAGCCATGGCGCAGAGAAGATCCATGTCTTCAACTCCTTCCCCTCTCTCCCTAAGCAGGTTAGGGGTCTTATCAACATGGATAGGTGGGAGTTCCCATCTTTTCGAATGAAACCAGTAAAACCTTCTTATCTGGTCTACGAGCCTCCATAGCTTAAGCACAACATATCAAGTCCAGTTAATCTCTACAATAACTTGGACTTTTTTTGGTGTTACGTATAGTAGAGCATGTCTATAGTACCTCTACACTTTGATCATGTAAAAGTTTGGGATGCCAAATTCAAAGCTGTAATTTTTGCCATAATCAATGATCAAATTTGAAAATTAAAAAAAAAGTCCTAAACCTTAATGACACGTTTTAAAGTCGTGCGGGCTTAGATTCAAAGTAGAAAGTGTCATTAGCGGGCTTGACTGCTGCAGTTTGATTGAAACCATTGATCAAGTATCACTGAACCTTTGTTTGGATAGTTTGACAATGAGGATTTTGAATTGATCTAGCCGTGATCAATGGCGAATTTACGTACTAAAAAGGGGCATGAAAATCAACGATCTCGCCTATTGCATAGGGCTTGCCTAGTGCGGTTAACATCTCCTGTGTGGTTTGCAGGCTATTACACAGTGAGGGGTTTACCTAGTGCGCACAAAGTGCTCACCCGACGGGGAGAGGTTGTAGCGGCTACTGCGGGTTATCCTGGGATTTCAAAAAAATATAATCAACGATCTCTTCGTAAAACTAGATATTTTATGTATACATTTTCTAAAATTGATATAATATTATCTAGTGATACTCATGCCTAGAGTTTCGTGATCAACATTTAGTGCGCTTAACTTAACTACTTCCATCGAGTGAACCATCTCAAATATTAGCATCCCAAACTCATATTAGTAACAAAATCTAATTAACTCGTTCATATTAGGTGCATCTCATAATTCATTTCCTCTTAAATATGTGAGAAAATAAAGCAACTTGCAGTTTTAATA